TAAACTTCACTCCAACTTAAAGTGCAGAAATCTCGCCAAATCACGCCTAACGCCTTCTCAGTTCTTGTTTTCGTACAAATGCCGTTTACAATTGTCAATTATTAACTATGTTTAGTTGTTTTGAGTGTATGAACAACGTCAAATGTTTGACTCAGGAATGAATCTATTAGAGGAAAGCTTGTTTATACATTTGTACCTACATAAAATAGAAATCAAAAGAATACGAACAGAGGTTAAGGTATTTCGTATAGGTATTTTAGTATAATGAAAGAAATTAATTTCTACTGAAAACATTAACAAAATGTAATAAATCGAAATTCATGTCTTCAATCTTTAATATGTTTGTACTTTTGTACAGACAAAGTACTTGGAAATTTTAAGACTTATGCCCAATTTCTTCACTTCCAGATAAGTTGTAGATAACCTTATCCAGGAAATATCTCCATTACATTATTCTGGAAGATATCTCTTAGATAAAGTTATCTAGAGGCGAAGCTGGTGAAGAAATTGGGCATTAGTCAATAAATGCCTGCGACTTTATGATTAAGTTACAAAACATCCTCTCTCCGAGAAAAGTCACTCTTTTTAAAATTGAAGAATAAATCCAAATGAAGAGTGAACAATTTCACTCTTTTGAAAAATGAAATTTCGCTCCACTTCGATTGGCGGTATTTTCATGAATATTTAGAGTGACTTTTTACTCCAAAAAAGTTCCAAGAAATTTAGAGAGTACGTTAAATAAAATTTTTTTTAATGAGAAAAGATATTTTGATATAAAAAAATTTTATTTAATACATCAAGAAAATTATTTATTTATAATTTATAGGTAAATTCTAATGTCTTTTTTCCAAATTTTTCTTTCGATGTAGTAGATAATATAAGAAAATCACATTCGATGTTGCCACTTCGCAAATACGTACATACGTAGTTTTGAATATTCTTTTTGTGCATCGATATTCGTGCTTAGTAAACTCATTCGTTTGTATGCTTTTTCGATAGTATTTGGTACAAACGCGATAATCAATCTAATAATTGACTTTCGTAGAGACGCCTCATGAATTTTCATTTTCTTCGGGACAAAGAGAAATAACGATGTCGTGTCATAAATTCGTTAATATCGTTGGCTATAATTATGCAACGCGTTACAAGAGTATTATTCTTTCGAGGTTTGAATTAATATTCGTTTGATTCTAAATTCTTTAGAATGAAATCTCACTCTAAAGAGTGAAAATTAAACCAGTCTTGAAAGAGTCTTGTATTTTCAATCTTTAAAAGTCATATTTCATTCTTCAGAATAAAACTCACTTTAAAAGTTTTAGAGAGTAGGTATTGCGCACATATCTTCATTATCGCATATCTTTTCGATGCGTCATTTTAATTATTAAAGTTTAATTATTCGTAAAGTTTACAAAAGTTTACACCATAAAATTTTCTTGTATTTAGTAGAAGGTAGATAGCAACGCATCAAAAATAAAAATTTTTCTTTGATAGAAATACTAGAGTTTAGTTAGAGACATCAAGATAAATTTTTAAGTCTCTCAATCGGATATGACTCAGTCCATGACATTTCTTATCTCCGTCTCGCACGTACGAAGAGTACCATATATTGTTCATTTGCTACAACAATGACAACTCAAAAATATTATTTTGGAATTGTTTGCCAAAAAGAACAGAAATAAAAAAAAATAAAGAACACATACTTTTATTCCTCCACAATCAGTTATTACATCAAAATTGCTTTTTAAAATGTTATTCAAAATTAAAATTTCAAAACGTTCAAATTTATTTTCTGGATAATTTTGTTTTTGGAGTTGTACCGTTGTTGTAGCAAATGAGCAATATGTATAGATATGAATATTTATATCTATATATCAGATAGGACCATTTGCGAATGTCGCACTTTCTTGGACGTTCAAGAAGATAATATTAAAGGATAAAAATATTCAACGTATAAATACTCAACGCATTTATTTTCTCCCACGGAGACTTCTATTATACGTTCTATCGATAGAGGTGAAACAAGCGATTTTTGTCGCCTTGTTCTTCACACGTTGCATTGGTTTGCACTCTGTCCGACATGGTTCGCGACGTAACTGCACGCAAATAGAATTTTGTTTACTATCACGAGACCTAACGCGTCGTCAATCTTGCGACAGTCTTTAACGATTCCGATCTCTGACGAACATAAATTGATTTCGATTGCGTCAATTCCTTTGTACAAGACATTCTTTCAGTTACGTTGTAGCGATCTTGCATTTGCAAAATCTTGCAAATTCTAGTATAATATTGCAGAGACACGAGATGCAAAATTATAACGAAATTCAAATTTTGGGTTACTAGACAACAGCTATTTTCATCAATCTCCTTTTGCCCGGAAGCCATGAAATATCGTAAAGAAAAAAATATTACACACACACATACATAGAGATTCAGTTTAATTTAAAAAATATTTGATTATCTCTCCTACCATTGATACTCTCTAAAACTTGTAAAGTGAATCTCATTCTGAAAAGTGAAATCTCACTCTTGTGACAGTTTCTATCAATGTAGTTTAATTTTAATCTCGGTTTAACTAACTCCTAATCTTTATCTAGTCCTAAGAATTAGAAAAAAATGAAAAGCAAGTTGAATCGAGATTAGTTTATCTACGTTGGTAGAAACCGGCATTGAAAATTGAAAATTGAACACATTTTTAAAACTGGCTCAATTTTCACTCTTTAGAGTGATTGCACTCGAAAGAATTTAGAGAGTGATACTAATCTTGTGTACGAATTAACTGGTTGATTTGTTTTCTTTTAACGCGTGCATTGCCATCATGGCGACATCGCGTGTTCATACAACACGATGACAATCGCGCACTGTTTATAAAAGCACCATTAAGGATGTAAGTCTCGCGTAAATTCGACTGGGATAAATATTCTGTCGATAGTATCTCGATATACCTTAATATTTTTTGAAATCTCACTTTTAAAGATTGAAAATTAAGCCTCTTTTTGAAAACTGACTCAATTTTCAATTTTTAGAATAAAAATTCTAAGCCAAAAATTTGAAGAGTAGTTTTAATCTTTTCTGAACAACCTACTGAGATTTGAAAATGAGATTCATAGGGGAACGTATCGTTTAAAGGAATTCTTGGAAGAGTGTAAAGCTGATATATCATCTTCGTAAAGTGTAAATTGAGTTTCCACATAGTCTAACAAGTCCGTATGATTTATGCGCATCTAACCTAAGTCTGTAGCCTGATTCGAGTAATTTTATGCCTTGGAATTTTTTATATCTTTAAATATCCATCAATTATTATATATACTCCCTTTATGACCTTTGCATGTCGTCAAGGTAGACCAACTTTTTATTAATCGTGTCTGGTTCCATCTCGATAATTTTCGTTATCAAACGTTATCATGTACGACGTGTGTACTGAAAAGAGTCTGGTAATAGCTATCAAAGGTTGAGAAATAATTTCAATCACAAAAAATAATTTTATTTTTCTAAATATTTAATAATTACTACTATACTACTACATAATATAATAATGTAACCAACAAACAACTTAATCATAATTATTAAATATTCAGAAAAGTAAATTTATTATTGGTTATATTAACCTGCAAACATTTGATTAAAATTATTTCACTCAACATTTGATAGCTATTGGCAGATTCTTTTTTTCAGTATATCGTTGAGCAATTTTTTCGAAATTGAAATCGGAAATTTTCGAGTAGTCATACCGAGTAGCCGAGTATACATGCATATATATATATATATTCAATGGCATCATGTTAAAGAAATAGAATACAGTCGAAGCGGTCGGACGCGCGACGCCATCGTTGATGGATTTGGCCTTGGCGGCGTTTCACGAAGCATATATAGCCCGTGCCTCTCGCGCTCGAGCTTCTCCTCACCTGCCAATTTCGGTTATTTTAATGCATACTGGTCTGAATGTCGGTCGGTCATACTCTTTCCCGTCAATCAGTGACGCTTAGTAACTGTCGTACATCGCATATTGACGGCAGCGTTACGCAAAAGAGAGCTTTCGCAAATCGGTCTCGACGAAAGATCGAGAGGTCAACTACGCGCGTTGTCGAATGCGACAGCGCGCAAGCTTGGCATAGAACAACTAGAAACTGCGACCTATAATGTTACCGTGTATAACATTAGCGTTCTCTATTTAAAAATGATCTCAAAATGTTCCTTCCGCAACCTATGCACCTGCACGAATGATATTTCGATCATTCAATGATCAATTTAATGGTCAACTGTAGTCAAGGCGAAACTGTTTAAGAAAGAAATAATATTACATCATTTTAACGAATGTCTTATTGTATTGATGCTATCGAGATACACGGAGAAAAGTTGAGTAATTTTTATCTTAATTTTATCTAATAAAAATGTTCTAATTATTTTTGCCAAACTTATGACAAACTTGCCTGAAAGATATTGGAAATACTTATAAGGTAAAAATACATTACAATTATAGTATTCAAGTGATTGTATAAATTTTGATTGTGTAAAATAAATCATATTATTCTCAAGACTGTAAGCACAAGCAACTTTTAAAATTTATTTTACAGAATGTAAAAGTACCTTATAGTTAACTATAAGGTACTTTTAAGAGTATATTTATAACATGATCGTTTATTTGCCAGAAAAGTAAAGTAAATTTTTAACATAAGAAGGCGCTTGTTCCTATATTATTGACCTGCCAATTCCATAAAATTTGCTAGAATTCCAGCGCATATTACTTTACATTTTTCTCCGTGTAGAAAGAACGAATACGAAGAAATGAAATGGCATATGGCTCCTTACACGCATGGAGCAACTTGCTTAAGAATTGGCATCATGCGTTACTAGCGCGTGACCGCTGTGCGAAAGTTCGCTATTGTTATGTGGAAGTAGCGATGAAAATAGCGCGCGATGAAAATGATTGCTTTAAAATTATCATTTTATTCCGTAATCAAGAAACGCATGGTCATATCATATTTGATATTATTGTGTTGCAGTTTCCTGGTGAGTGCATCCTCACATACATGGAGTTTCAGTTGGATAGCGCAGAATACTGCCAGGCTCAACACAAATAGAGAGACACGCCCATACTCCTTGACAATTATTAGACATCGTTAAGGTAAAGAGAGGAAGGCTAGAAACACCTTGGAGAGAAAGGAAGAAAGATATTAAAGTAGTAGAGAATTATCACCGGGGAAGCCAGAAAAATCATCAACTAGTCATCACGCAAGACATAGAAGAATTTAATAGAAATTATTAATTTACCTTAGTAGATGCAAGCATCGTAGATACTGAGCGCACCTGTCACAGGAGCACCCAGTGCCAAATAGGTAAGAGTAGCACCTCCAAGAAAAAAAGCTGTAAAAAAGCTTTTTCTCCATTCTAATAATTAAATTATACTCATCATCTACAATTATATTGATTTCAGGTAATCTTCCGTGAATTATAGTCAAAAAATTTCAAGTGGGAAGAATAAAGCGCATATCAACACCGCCTAATGTAACGTAGCCCTTACTTTTTCGGCGAAGTTCGCATCCCGACGATCCTTTCTAAATTCTACATGTAAACCCACAGTTCTGTCCTCTGTAAAAAAATAATATATTCTATTAGTTAAATGAAAAACAACTTTATAAGACTGACATTTAATGGGCTAAGTTGTCAAATCCAGCCTTTGTCGCTTCGTATAGTGTGGCACACGTACGAGATCTTTAAGAGTTAAAAACAATAAGAGAGGATAGATTTATAACCATCTTTGTGGTTAAGAAGGAAATGAGCAACATGAGGGTGAAGGATATCAGACCGGCGCCCGCCGAGATTGAATACAAAAACATGAAGTTCCTCATTACTGATCGGCCCAATGATCAAACCATCCATACCTTTATTCAAGTTAGTATACGAACGAAACTGTCCGCGAGACATTGCGCCAAATCTTTATTTTTATTCCTATCTACTATAAATTGCATTAAATTTCTTTAATAGGAACTGAAAAAGCACAATGTAAAGGAGGTGGTAAGAGTCTGCGAACCAACGTACAAAGTAGAGGAACTGAAATCAGAAGGGATCAATGTGATAGATTTGGTATTCGACGATGGTACATTTCCACCAAACGAGGTAAAGTTTTTATCTTCGGTCCATTTTTATTGAGATAAAAGTAGGAAAACTCGAATGAAAATAAATCGTTTGTATGTTTTCCATTATTCATATAAATCTTCTAGGTGGTAGATGAATGGTTCGAGTTGCTAAAAAACCGATTCCGAGAATCACCTGACGCATGTGTGGCGGTGCATTGTGTCGCGGGTCTTGGTAGAGCACCGGTCTTGGTTGCGTTAGCCCTCATTGAACTTGGGCTCAAGTTCGAAGATGCTGTTGCCCTAATCAGAGAGTAAGTCATCTTGTGTACTCCGTAATCTTTGATTATTCAAACAATGAAATGCGTTAAACAGAATTTGATATGATTTTTTCTCTCTTTGTTGTAGAAAAAGACGAGGCGCCATAAACGCGAAGCAGTTAACTTTTCTTGAAAAGTATCGTCCTAAATCTCGATTGAAGCTCAAGAATGGACAAAAAAATTCCTGCTGCATTCAATAGATCAAAGAACACTTTAGAAAAAGAGAAGATGGGGAAAAAAGTCACTAATTCATACTGATTGGTATAAATGTGTAGAATTTTGCGCCTGACAACAAGTGGCATATTGTAGCAAATCTGTTCTGAATGGTCTATCACTGGAAATGCAACGTTGGTTGATAACTATCAATCAACTTTGAAGCATATTTTGCATTACCCAATTTTATATTTCGGAATGAGCCATTATATATAACGCAAAGGAATACGATTCACAAAATCGTTGCTATTTCCGTTTATGAAGATAAATTATATGTTATTTTTGATACTTGATCAATATTGACCATTGAAGAACAAAAGTTAAATCTTGAAATGGTAATGATTATTTTTAAAAACCAATTAACTATATTATTGCCATTTAATCTTATTTATTTGTAAATCGTGACATAAGAGTTGTTCATATATACATGTGCAAACTCGTACATTATGCAACATATACTTATCTTTTTCTTAAGACCAAAATTCTTTATAAACACTTAGTAATAAACAAAAAGAGAATATGATTTTTCTAATTAGAAAAGTGAAAAATGTAGGAAAATCAATATAATTGTAATGAATGTAACACATTCAGTATATTATCGATTTGTTATTTCATTAAGATAGTAAATTGTGTTGCGTTCGTGTGTGATACACACACATATATATATATACACATACAAACAGAAATAAAGAATTTATAATTTGCAAATATATATAATCTCCAGAAAGTGCTACACATTTGATTGCAAACTAAATTTCAAGATGTGTAAAAGTCCGAATTGGAATTAATTTACATATAATTAATATTTACATCTAATTATATTTCTTTTTAAATAAAATATATCGAAGCAATTTGCTTTGAACGTCAAATACGATAATACTTTTTAGGAAGATTTATATATAAAGTTTTTGCAGCATGCAATCGAGAAATGAAAATACATATATTTATATTCTTTTCAAAAAATGACTTTTCAGACAGTTTTTTTCGATACAATTTATCTCTGTTATATAACTGTAAAATAGGAAATTTCAATATCAAAATCATTTCTACAACAAATCAAGACATAATAAAGGAGAAGCGATTTTATGCTAAAAAAAAAAGAAATATACACTTGCATGTTAAACACATCATACTTATATAACATGACATTGCAATATATTGTCTTTTTTCTTTTTCTTTTTTTATTATATACATTACAGATATATAGAATTCTATTAATTATAACTAATATTAATTTTATTTACTAAAATATTAGCAATAATTTGTTTGGATTACACATTTTGTAATTTATGTTTGGATTACAATACTGGATTTTTGATACTCGATTTGCAATGATTTGATAGATAAAACATGAATTGCATAGCATTAAAGCTCTAAAGTGTTTCAAACTAGACTCAAATTTAAAATATTTTTAATTTGAAAAATAAACGACGAACACATTACGTTGCATTTCCAATGGCATGCCGAACCGCTGATGGATGTTTTTAACTCTTATTGGACTTGGAATCTGCGTTAACTTGAGTGATGGATAATGAGAAACTAATGTGAAGCAAATCACTCCAGAGCTGTATATCACGTATTACCATAGCTCAATGACAATTTTATCAAAATTTTTGCATATCTAACTTTTAGTCAAAGTAGATTTTTCAATCTGATATACAAGCATATTATGTAAAGTCATCATCGTCTTCTATTTTGGTGAAATTGTCAATGATGCTGTGTACGCCACACTAAACTGTGTTCAAAGGATAGAAAAATTCACTCGTAAAATAATAATGAAATATAATACTTAGAACATTTCACGCGTGTCTGCTGATTTCATGTGAATGTACGTTATTTTGTATGCTATCTGCTTCTGATTATCTTATTCAACGATGAGTAACAATGCGTACCGGAAATGAACTATTGCACAATGGTTGTATGGCAATCAAGTCTGATTGCTATGTATTACTACATTCAACCAAACAAATTTAATTGTCATTCCCGAGACACCCAAGAGATCCGCGCTGTTGTGTTCCAGAACATGATACCAATGATTACGTATCATTACACACTTGTTAATCGTGTATTGGCAATTTATCTCCTATACAAGCGATAACTAAACACGGTTGATTAGGAATCGATTACTTAGGTACCAAATAGAAAATAGGAGACAACTTTAATTTACTTTTATGTACGTATTCTTTAACGAGTAACAATGGGGTACATTCACTGCAATCGCAGACTCGAATCGAAATTAAAATCTGATACCGCTCCTTTTTTGTAATATTAAAAACTGCAATATTTTTTACCAGAGGATGGGACGAGGGATATTCGGATATATATAAAAGCAAATGATTCAACCTTAGAGGCAAAAGTATCATTACTTTTATTCGTTTAATTTTAGTTCATTTAATTATGGTAATTACAAAGCAATTTAACACGTTTCTTTATTACAATTCTTTTCTAAAAAAAAATTATGCGATATTCATGACGAAATAGATATTATTTTAACAGTTACCAGTATAATTTTCATTGTTTTTTTTAAATTATTACTCTTGCGCATCGATTCACTTCTTCAAGGTGTAATTAAATTGCTAAATAATTTCTTTTTATATCTGTGATATAATTTTCTTAATATACATTTAGAAAAAGTTATAGACTTAGAAGTAAACTGTGGTTATTAAAGCTGTGATGCTAACAGTTGTAGAAAATTATACACGTTGTTGTTTTATTGGAAATTAATATTCAATTACAAAAAAAATATAACATGTAAAAATTACTCTGCTGTGCAATAACGATACATAATCGTATTTATAAACGAGGCATGCAAAGTATGAAATATTTTATTTCTCGAAGAAATGAATCGAATTGCTGCAATATATTGATGTTACACAAAAAACAAATGCAATTATAATGGAAATTATTATTTTTAAATAGCTACTTGATGTCGATCTAAATAATACAATAATTTTATGTATTGATCAAGATCTCTTGTGTTTAATCATATGTCTAATGTGAATATTTCAAGGAAGAACAATTTAGATAGCAAAGAAATCCTCTATTTTGAACCGACATAAAATAAGAACAATCACTCCCTACAAATTGATTAAACAAGAAATAAAAAATAACGAGTTAGCGCAATTTATAAATAAATATTACTGTTTAATTTCTCAATATAATTTCCTATCTCTATATCATTACACAATTAGTTTTAATTAAATTAAACATTAAATTAAATCGTTTTGTTACATTGTAAACATTAATTATGAAATAAAAAGGAATGGAAGTTGTTTTGTGAAAAAAGAAACGTTTTACAATAATTCTTATACCTTAATGTATATTAAATATGAATAAATTTTTTGGCTTTATTCTCATCCCCAAAGAAATACGAAATACTTATGTATCTTTCATACGTACGGTTCTTTACAATATAATAAAATATATTATAGAAGAGATATATTAGCGAAATGGCATAATATTATAGACATTTAATATATAAAGAAACTGTCTATATTTGTGTACCTTCATTTTTTATCAAATTTAATTTTCTGTAACTTATTACAAAAACATATCATCATATTGTGGAGGAGGTAAATGGTCATCATCGGGTCTACGACGATGTGGTCTTATTGGAGCATCCAGATCAGGTGGACCAAAAGGGTCGAATCTTGCACCAGGTGGTATCGCATTTCTGCAATATTACATTTAAATTGATTCTTAAATTAAAAAATAGATTCTCAGATACACATGCATTAGTTTTGTCATATAACATACGGTGGCAATACTCCTGGTATTCCTAAGCCTCCCGGTGAACGTCCAATTTGACGACGCATCGTGTCAAATGGATCGAATATCATACCACCGCCTTCTCCAAATGGATCAAGATCTCTACTTCCTATATATTCAGGTCTAATAATGGAAAATAAATAATCTAAAGTAAAATATTAGAGATTATTTTAGAATAATATATTGGACGTCTAATGGAAAGACATCTTGTACATCATTAGAAAGAAATAATAAAATTTACAAAGCAGCATATAAGTTTGCACGTATACATTACATCATTATACATAATAAAATATAATATCGGTTTCTCTATAAATGCTGCAATCTAAATTCTTTTTTACTTGAGATGTATAATGTGATATAAAAAATCTTATGTGGACATAATTAAATATAAAAAATGTATATAGGCATTAATTAAATCAATATTGATAAATTACCGATTTAATGCCCGATTAACGGGTATCCTCAATGGAGAATCAGCTGGAGAATCAATGGGAGGAACCTCATTTCTTCCGGAGGAACTTCCGGGATTATTTAGTACGGTTGTTTGGGTCCCTGCTTCGTTAGAGCATATCGTACTTACAAAATCTTTTTGTATATTATGTAAAATTGTTTGATAAGATGGTATTACAGTCTCTAAAGGTCCATGTAACGCAGATACAGTTTCCTCGATAGGGAACGAAATGTTAGAAACAGAATTATCTTGGTGCTTCTATAAGAATATAATATTCAATAAACGTTTTATAGAGAGGTAATCACTTTAATAATTAGTTGACTTTGACAATTTGCTGCTGTCATATAATTATTACCATCAAGTTCAATAATAAATCTGTATCTGATTTGACTCCAAGAAGTACATGTAATTTTCCATCTTTTACATAACGTAGTGCATAATTGGGACGTGAATTCCATTCTGTTGGAAGTAATTCAGAACCTTTTTCTGATGCATTAAACGCTGCCTAAAGAATTATAAATTTGAATGTAATTTTAAAAATAATTACAACATATGCATTATCTGTACGTGTCTGAAATTCTTATTAAACACTTGACAGATGTCTATGTTGATACTCTAATTTAATATATTTAATCAAAACCGGATCTTACAATGCTTAAATACATAATGATTTAAGCATCCAAGATCCAGCTTTGATCGTTAGAGGCTTTAATTCTTATGTGACATGTATTCACATTATATGATTTTAATAAATTTATTATTAATAT